TTAATACTGTAATTTCTTGTATTTGTTTTAGCTTATATTTTTCCGTCGTGGCATCTATGAGTAATCAATTTTTTACAATTCCTTCAAACATATGTAATGCGGTTTTATTTTTCACGATTCTTGATTATGACGCAGAAATATCATGTCGATAATATTTTTATTTTGTTCGATTAAAATTTTTTTATGTATATTTTTGATATATATGTATATTACACAGATCTTAGAGAAAAATTAGTTCTCCTAAAAACTATATTGAAATAGCATATAATTATAAATTCAATAACATTTCGTTTGTTCTTGGCAGCAGTTTTCACTCTAACGGTTACAATAATGCCTGCAATATATGCAACTGCTGAACCCGATGCAATAATTTTCATATTTAGAGCAATATCCTGAAATTATTTATATGTTTCGTTAAAATAAATATATATTCTATAATTGTCTATTAAAGAGATAAAATATAATTAATATAAATTATTATAAAATTTACTATTTATTAGACAACTTATTTTAACTTATTTTAATTAGACACATATTTTAACTTCCATTTGACTATAAATGTTTCTAAAAATAATACGACAATGTAAGGAAAATTTTTGTATCTCGCAATTGTTCTTGTTGTGCGGTCCAGACGAGATAAAAATAAATGAATGACTTAAGTGCGAGAGTAGACATACTCTTTTACAATCTCGCGCGAGACAACTTCCGCGCGGAACTTTATGGTGGCTTCCGTGAGCAAAAACTGCATCATTATTATGGTTCTTGCGATGGAAGTGGAATTTTGACCAGTACGTTGCGAGTTTTTTTTTTGTAAAAGTATTAAAATCGGTAAACATTTACTTTGTGGGCGTAAACTTTGTAACGGGCAAGCGTCCAAAAATCGAAAATCAAGAAATAATTGGCCGAACCAGCAAGCGTATATACATATAAACAAAGCAGAGCAAATTCGCTATTATAATATTGCGTATTGATAAAATAAAAGTTTGCGTGCTTTTAAAAAATAATATAACAACATAATAACATTTTACTGATATTTAATATCGCTATGAGCAAGGGAAATTCGATCGCGAATTGTGAAGGCTTCGCATTAAAGCTATGAACCATGGTCGCAGTAATTAAATTACTACGAAGTAGGTTCGTAGAAATTTCCATCAGCGCCAATTGTTAAGTCACGTAGGCAATTGAGACTTAATTCATAGAATTGAACTTTATTTGTGAATCTCGATTTTAACATTAACTAAGCTTTTAAATATATACACGTAAGTCAAGGAATTGAATTCATCGGATCGAATCGGTCGTTAATCAACAAGAATAAAAACTCATCGTCGGCATATTCAATTCGAACAGTGTGTCTCACAAGAACGAATATGCCGAATACATATATTTTTTTTCTTTGTAATATTGCAAACCTTCAGTATTTATTGCAATCATTATAATTATCAAAAATATTCCCAGAAAAAAATAATATTTTTATATTTGCGTACTACTCCAATATCTTACAATAAGTTTTTTGCAAAACCAATAAAAAGAAATATACAAATTTTAATATAGTATAATAAATTTATATTACCATTATCATTATCATATCAACTCGTGGCTAAAAAATAAAAACAATATAAAAATAATAATAAATTTTAGCCATTATCGACTGCATCATCGACACGATTTATGAATCATAGCTAAAAAGTAATCTGACACTAAATTTTTCTAATAGCTAAACAGTTATATAAGAGAATTTATTAGTCATAAATTATACATCAGTAGTAAAAAAGAAAACAATTAAAACTAATGTAAAAGATTGAAGAATCAATTTCTAATGTGATAAAGAGCTACTGCTTATAAGTATAAAATCTAGCAATAATAAGTTCTTCTAAACTATTTGTCATATCATATACACACATACCTACGTGTTGAGATATACGTATGCGTTCGATACGTATTCGGTATATTCGTTCTTGTGAGACACACTGTTCGAATTGAATATGCCGACGATGAGTTTTTGTTCTTGTTGATTAACGACCGATTCGATCCGATGTAATTCAATTCCTTGACGTGTATATATTTAAAAGCTGAGTTAATGTTAAAATCGAGATTCACAAATAAAATTCAATTCTACGAATTAAGTCTCAATTGCCTACGTGATTTAACAATTGGCGCTGATGGAAATTTCTACGAACCTACTTCGTAGTAATTTAATTGCTGCGACCATGGTTTGTAGCTTTAATGCGAAGCCTTCACTATTCGCGATCGAATTTTCCTTGCTCATAGCGATATTAAATATCAGTAAAATGTTATCGAGTCTAGTACTGAAACAAATTTTCATTTTTGTTATACTGCAGTATTCTGTTTACTCACAACAATGGGAAAGCGGTTTACGCCAAAGATGCGCCAAAGAGACGCCGACGGCTATGGAGAGGATTGGATATTCATACCTGACGACAATGGGCAGTCTCAGGTGTAAACAGTGTTAAAGGTCCAAGACGAAAGGAGAGGCATATTGGATGATTTGGAAGCCTACATAATCTATACTTGGTAGCTAATTGCAAATGCATATTATTCCAATGTGCATATTATTTAGCAACATGCAATATTCTTCCGTTATTCACTCGATCTAGCTTCCCATAATATTTTTAAGATCTAATCCGAAAGAGGGCATACAGGTGACTCTAAATGACATCATGAATCTTGCCGGCTTCGGCTTCAAATCCTTGCGAGAAACGAAATTCATTATAACGTACGGATAAAAGTCAAGCGCCATGAGTACCAGGCTTCTGAACGAAAGTGCGGCCGTTTGTTTTTTCAATTTGTTTTGCGAGTTAGGTCTCGGTTTATTGGTGAAGCACACTCGCGGATAATTAATTACACTCTTTCGAGCAGCTTTTTTCAATCACGGAGATTACAACGTCATCCTTGTGGATTAGGAAACTCTTGGCCGCGAGC